GTAACCTTTTTTGAAGCCGTCACAAAGATGTTAGGTGATGAAAGAGATGAAAAATTTGCTTCGGTTTCAAAGAGCGGATTCTTTTAGGGCGATTTAAGAAGAACCTAAGAGAAGTTCTGAGCATGCTGCAGCAGAACACCTTCTTACTAATTAAAAACAGATGCCATTGAGTGAATAAGCTTTTCTTTGAAATATAAAAACCTCACAAAAACTGTTTTGAACTCTCATGGCTGTTAGGCTGAAGCACTTGAAACTTCATGGCTACATTTAGGCACTAAAAGTTTTTTCGTTACTCTTAGGTACTGAAAAGTACTTAGTTCAGTTTATCCATTTAAAACTACTTGGTTAGATTTGGGCATAGGAAAGTTACAGTTAGGTTTAGATACTGAAAACGCCTTGATAGGTTTAGGTACTGAATGTTTCTTGGTTGGGTTTGGGTACTGAAATTTACTTAGTTGGGTTTAGGGACTGACAACTACTTGGTTAGATTCAGGTACTGAAAAGTACTTGTTTAGTTTTAGGCACTGGAAATTTCTTGCTTAGGTGTGGGTAAAGAAAAGACCATAGTTTGGCAAAAAAAAAATATTCTTTTTCACAACATTTGAAAAATAATGACTTAAACCCAGCTTACTAACACCGTGAGCCTGTGCATCCGGGCACAGGGGCCAAATATACCTTCATTCCAAGAGCCCCAATCCGGTGATTTTGCCAAAACAGCTTTAATTGAGGCCCTGGGAATGAGAACAGGCTTGAATTATGCGTCTTCTGATGGAACTGCTCTTCATTCACTTCGCCTACTTACTCAGTTTGAGCCAAGTCTCAAGTCTCTACACAAAAGCCTGAATCAAACCGCCTCTACAGAACAGGTTAAGACTGCTCCTCTATCGCTGACCTCTGGATGTTTACATAAATCCTAGGTGGGTTGTGGGAGTAAACTAACAAGCTTTCTGAAAGTGTGGAAACCAAGTGGACTGAGAAGTCCATACCTTGACATTTTTAGGCTGCATGGTGATGCACAATCCATTTCTTGATATTTTCTATGAAAGAAACATGGGAGATGTCACAAAGTACTGGAAATCAACTACAGTTTTACTGGGTAATCTGTTTTCACTCTGTTGGGCATGGCTCATTGGTGTTGCAGTGGAGTAGTATCAGTGTCTGATCCACAGTCAGTGTGTTCTCTGCAGCAGATGGCAATGAACCACCAGCTAAAAGAAATCATTATTGGTGTACAACAAGTATTTGTAGCATTTTGTAGCATTTTTACAATTTTACCTCCCATTAGACAGCCATATCAAACAAGGAAGTGAGAAAAAACACTTTGACATGACATTTTTTATATGCAACACATTTTTTGGTACTGCCTCACTCGGTTAGCTCAGTTTTTACCGGCAACTTGTGTTTCAGTGGGACGAAAAACAAAAATTACTCTTTTGTCTGAAGGCTTTGAAAAGAACTGTATCTTTCTTAGTGCGTCCTTTCTGCAAATAAATTAACCCGGTCAGCTGTTTCAAATATTCAGTTTTTTTTTTTGGTTTTTTTTGCCTGTCCCATTTGGTTCTTTAGCCATCAGAATTGTTGTCTGAAGACCAACAAGGATACCCAATGGATTTACTTTTCCAAATGGATCATCGTGGCATTGCCGTATTGGTCCATTTGATCGACCTTTGTTTTTATTATTTATTATATTTTATTTTCAGATGTTACAGACGGGACAGACATGAGTGAGGGATAGGAAAGGGAGAGAGAAAGAGGAAGGAAAAGAAAAACAGAAGGGGAGAGGGACAGTGAGAAAGGGGGGGAGAAAAAAAAATCTCCTGGATCACCTGTTGAGAGATGAAGAATAGAGAACAAGCAAAAAAAAACAAAACAAAGCAACATACTAAACACAACACCATCGCATTAATCTAGCTAAGTGTAAACAGCAGTAAATACTAAATATTCAATGTTGTTGTGCAGCACGCAGGACAGACAGCGCACAATGTGCTTTGAAGTAGCAGCCAAGAAAGGTGTAATTTAAGTCTACGAGCAGTGAACACGCATGTGCACACCTGTGTGGATCAGCGCGCTTGTTTTCAAATGGTTTCCACATGTAATGGTCTGCAAGAGGATGTAGCGAGCCATAGCCCCGTCCCCCAGGGCATGAAGCAGGCATGGAGGAGATCCAGGCCCCAGACATCCAGAGGCCTCAGAGTGCGAGAGTCCAAGGAGGACCACTGGAGGGGCATCCGTGCCACCCTCATGGGAAGGGCTGAGGATCCCCAGACAAGACGTCACCCAGTAGCCACTGAGCAGAAGCTAGAGGGGGCTGCACCGGTGTGCCCACCGGCTCTGCCAGCAGCCAGCTGTGCCAGAGTGAACCGAGCCACAGGCCCAGAGGCCGGAGGCCCGAGGGCCCCCCGCACCCCGGAGGAGGCCTGACCGAGCAACAGGCGCCAGGCCCCGCCAAGTAGTCACCGGGCGTGAGCTGGTACATACCTGAGCGCCCAGCCCCGAACACCAAGAACCACCAATGCACCGACCCCTGAGGGCATCAGTCACCGGCAGGGAGTGTGGTGAGGGGAGATAGGCCTCCACACTTTGGAGGGCCTGGGAGTTCCCAGAGAGGTGGAGTCTAAGACCTGACCTGACATATAGACACAGACAAACAGGCACACACAGACACAAACATGCATTCCCACCCTCATGCACACATATACAAACACTCAGCACTCACCCAATGTAAGGACAAATATTCAGTTTTACTATTAAGTTTTACCTCCAAACTTCAAAATACTGGCACATTTTTAAATAAAGAAATGCTATAATGCAGCATAAATCTGTGATAAAATAAAAACAAGTAAAATATCATGATAATAATAAAACTATAGTCACACACTCTGAATTAATAACTAAGTTTTAAATTTTTGTGTCAGTCTTTGTCTTTGTGTCAGGACAAAAACCACTTAGTAAAGGAGGACGGAGAAGGAAAAAGGTATTCTAAGATCACTGTAGCATTCAAGCAATAAAATTTTTTTAGTACATGTAAGTGTTCCACATTTTTATAAACTGTATATTTCACATCTGCAGTGTCAAATGTGAAAGTATCCATCATTTTTTATTTAATCATTTTGCATCCATGTTAAGATAATCTAAATCCTGCGGCTCGCTATGTATAATAAAACTCAACAAATCAAAAAGGCTTAGCCAAGGTGATTCAGAGCAGATTAATTTCACACAGAGACTTTTCTGTTTTTTGGAGGGATGCAGGGTAAAAACCTTGCTTGGACCGGCAGCAGAAAAAGAGGACAGGCAGACAAAGAGAAAGAGAGATGGTAGGATAAACCGGCAGGATGACTGACAGGTGACCTGACATGGCTAGCAATCCCCAGAGATAAACGCCACTTGGCAAAATGGATGCTGTCGATGTGGAGTCCAAATAAAACAGCAAACAAACACTCAAAGGTTATGTTAACATGAACAGGAACATAGCCATAAACAGAGGCACGGAAAACTTAACGTAATTTTCGTTGCTCCTTTTCCCTTGTGTGCGTGTTTGTGTACTTCATGAACTTTACCCTTCCTACATTACACTGGGGTGTGGAAACACATTTCAACTGCATCTGAGGGAGCTGCTGACTTATTGTTGTTTCTCTTGTCCTCATCTCCATCCTTTCAGAGCTCATTTTTTTAGAGGGATAATGATGACAGCGCCATATTTTTGTTCAAAGAGTCCTTTATGCCTTGTTTGGTTTTTGTGTGTCATCGCCGTATTAAGGCCATCCATTTAAGCCGAGTACAGTCGTGTACACATGCTTGCACACGCAAATCTCTATCACTATTTACCGTGGTTGTTTATACAATATTCCCTCTTGGTAGTGCCTTTTTAATCCTTATTGTAGCATCAGAACTGCCTTTGTTTACACTGCAGCTATAAAAAAAATGGGGGGGGGGGTTAAAGGTCGAGCAAATACAAATGTTGTTTCACAGCAGCTTCACTTGTGAAGGCGAGTAAGTAGCAGCTGTAAAGAAAGCAAATGCGTTAGGACAAGTGTGCTGCCTGTCACGGCCTTGCTGCTCCAGCGAACTTGCACACCTTTTTTGTTTTTGGAGACATGGAAATCTCAGAGTTCACCAAGTCTGGGGTGAAATTCATCTGGAAAACAGTTTTGAATGGGCAAGAGGAGATGTGGCATCAGAGCAGCTTAAGCACGCTTGGTTTGGCAATAATATGACGGTCTTAGAAGTAGAGACAGCTTGTGCCCAGGCAGATGAAAAGCAACAGAGAGAGGAGGAAAAAAAGTGGGGGAAGGGGAATGGAGGGGGGGAGCAGGGAGGAGCATTAAGGGACAGCACTGACGTGCTGTCACCTGTTTGCCGGTTCGTTAGCTGGGAGCGCTGCTGCATGCTCTCATAGGGAAAGCTTTTGATGCCTAATTTGCCGCTTGGCCGGGTTTGCGCATGGCTTGGTGCTCAGTGGAGTGGCTGTCCCAGTCACATCCTCTCGTAGAGTAGGCTTCTCTGTCAGAGGCTCGGACTCGGATGGGGCAGTATGAGGAGGCAGTACAGAGACGAGGGGTATCACCCGCGCTCAGAGGTACATGGTCACCAAACGCACCTGTTTAAAAAGACAGTTGATAACGCCGGAGCTCCTGGGGACGCTTGCGCAGAAGGAGAGATGATAGAAAATCGTTGCTTCTCTTTGCTGTTATTTTGTGGACTTGAACTGAGGAATCAAACTGTTTTTTTTTTTATTTGTTGTGTTTTCCAGACGCAGCTCTTTTCCACTTGCTTTAGAACTTTTTCTGTTGTTGCCGTTGTTCTGATATTCTTACATCCCCTCTGGCTTCCATGAGAAAACTAAAAGGGAAAGCGGTTCTTTTTGCATTTTTATCTTCCTTGTATTTACAGCTCTTTCTCCACTTTGATTTCTTTACATTCACGTCAGAGACTGTTTTTTTTTTTTTTTTACTTGTCTCTCAGTTTCTCCGTTGTCTCTTTTGTGTTATTGTTTTCTGCAGCAAGCTCTGGATTCCAACCTGAGTAATCTGATCAAGAGGAACAACGAGCTGGAGTCTCTTATGGGAAAACTGATTCAAACTTGTCAGCATGTAGAGGTGAGTCCCACGTTGCCCTTTATGGTTAGCTGTATGTTGTAATTTATTAAATGAATGGATAATATAATATTTTACTACTTAAGACTTAACTGTAACCTGTGTAACCTGTACAGTATAGTTACTCAACATTTTTTATTAACCCTTAGCTTAGCATGTAGCAAGAGTTGACAACAAAACTTACAGTAAATGACTGAATATGACTATCATGTTGAAAACCTAATATAATATTTATTTTTTTGTTTTAGGTTTTTTATATTTGTCATTTTTCCTTGATTACTCACTCAAACTGTTGTGCTGTTTTATTTGTGTTTTGTATTTCATAATGCCACTGCAAAAACCTTTTTTTCTTTATGTATTCGTGAGACTGTTAATGAATATCATTTTAAAAAGTAAAGATGTAAACATAGGAGACTTTGGCAAAAAAAAATTAATTTACATCGATTTGTTTTTTAAACCTGCTTTTATTCATTCACATTTACTGGTCTAATATATGCTTTTATCTGCCCAGAAACAAGGGGAAAAAATGACAAGCGACAGTGTAGATTTATTTACATTAAAAACAAATACGAGTAAAGCAAAGTTTACTCAAGAAAACCAGATTTTTCATTATTCGTAAAAGTTATTTTGGAGGCGTCATCGTAGACTCAGGGAGTGTGGCCAGCATATTATTATTATTTTTTTTTTACAACATTCAAAGTTTCAGTGATTAATACATTATGAATATTACGCTCCTAAAGTATATATTTTTAATGAAACTGCTTCTAAAATGTATCTAGCATCTACATTAACTGCAGAGCTCTGTTTAATTTCACATAAATATTCTTAATAATAACAGAGAACGTTCGAAAATCTGATCTTACATAGGATGCAGACAAAAATAAACGTACACAAACAAACATAGCATCTTTAGCATCTTTTAAGGGTTACATATAAATATATAAAAATACAAATATATGTAACATCTGCAACACCTTTCAGCCTCCATGCACTAAAAAAACTGTTTTCGAAATTGAAATGTTGAAATTTCCCAAAAGCTTTGAGTGCAGAAACAGGCAAGTGCAAATCATCAGGTTTCAGTCTAACACGTTTATTTTTGGGATAACAACCAATTGTGCGAATGTCTGCATGCATTTAACTCGAGTGAAGGCAATTCTGTGCTAAGCCTGCCTGTTCATGTTCCACTAGCCCACTAAGAAGCTTTAAATAAAGTGATGCCACAGGCAGTGGTTGAAAGGCAGTGACATCTTAGTTTAGAAATAACGGAGAACAGCCTGCATGCGTGGCAAGGTCTTTGCATGCTGCAAGGAAAGAGGATTATGATTTATTAACATTTAAGCGCTGTATACATTTTTTTTTTGAGCATGTTTTCATGTTTCCCATCACACAGATATGCTTCCTCTGAGCTTTAAGCTCAGGGGGAAACTGTGACGAGGCAAGAATTTCAAACAGGCGAAAGAAAAACTTTGATCCTTTTCTGATGAATAAATGATGAACATGAAAAGGGCAAACAAACCCACTTGACCTATTTCTCCCCAGTGCATTATGACACATGCAGTGGAGTTTCGCAACATAATCTATAACCCTAAATAACCTCTGAGGTGTACACTGATAGCACATCAGGTCAAGCTGCACAGGGTCGAACTGGACTAGAAAAAGTTCCAAGCAAAAAACCAATAACGATCATGGGCTAAAAAATACATCAAATACAAATACAACTTACGTGAACTCAGGAAACTGAGCTGTCTGATATGCTTGGCATGAATATGTCAGGGCTTAAAAATAAATAAATAAATAGATAAAAAAAGAGATGGTTACTCAGCTTTGGTTGGCGTGCTGTTGATGGAGCTTTCTGAATTTTTCATATCACATTAAGCCTCTCCCAAAGCCTCACTAAAGATGGCTGCTGAGAATCTCTCAGACACTTAATGTTGGCGAAAGATCAAGCAAATGGCAACCTTCCTTAACGACTCATGTTTAAAAAAATAAAATAAAAAAAATAAAAACAAAGAAGAAAAAATGACTGCACACCCGGTTCCTCTGAGTCACCATCTGCTGTGGTTCAGCTGTGGCCACAGTTTCATTTAACGCTCCCACACCAAATTACGCACGCATTCTTTTTCGGCTGGCATCGTGACACATTTTTTTCTTTTTCAAAGAATCTAGTGCCAAACAACATTTGGACCCTTCTATGCTGTTTTTTTTTTCTTTTGCAAAAATGGGGCCCAGTTATAATTTCGTGAAGGTACAATGAGTTTCAATGCAATAAATACTCAAAGAGGGATCGTTTTAGGCAGTTAATTGGTTTGTTTATTTAAATGAAAGGAAGGAAATTATCCCATTAAAAAAAGAAAAAGAACACAAGAAAATGAAAAAGGATTAGCGCTTTTGCGGTTTTGTTTTAAAGCCAGAGAGAGAAGGAAAGCGTTACCTCTGATGTGTGTCAGGGAATATAGGCCCTTCAAGACCAACTTCACCCCCCCCCAGAAAGTTTGTTTGATGCACATTTTACAAAGTTTGGATATCCTCCAGGCTTGAATCATTTGTGTGCATGCATGTGTGTTTCTGTGGTTAAATGAATCACTTAATGTCCCTCTCAGGCTATAATCTGTCATACTGATCATATGCTCCAGAGGGTTCTGCCCACAGTCATTAGATGCTTCACATCTTTACACAGCACATCATGTACTTTGGTCACAAATTGTGTGTGGGTGTCTGTGTGGCTGTGTACATGACAGTGTGTCTGCGCCACTCCCTTGTTACTGTTGTTTATATTATGACATCCATTTACTAACAGGTTAACTATGTTCAAGGGTACAGAAAGTATTCTTTTCCTTACTTGAAAATAAGCTTTCTTTGTCGAACTATGAAAGTGGATTTGAAGCAGGAAACTAGCTGATAAGATATTGTAATTATGCACTGCTTCCTGAGGGATTGGTAACCACTGCTAGAAATGCACTAGAATTGGTAGAGTTGGTTATGGTGCCAGACACCACAGGAAGTCATTAACAGTCGATGTTAAAAAGTAAGACAGTCGACAGCTGTGTTAACCAGTGTGGTTGTGTGGTACACCAACACAGGCCACATACAATCAATCGTTTTTTTAAGATGAGAGCAATCCCTTAAGCTTGCAACGTAAAAGCTAAAAGGTAAAAGCATCAGGTGCTGATGCAAGCACTGCTAACGTTAGCTTACACATAACTCAATAACTAATTTATTGTAAGAAAGTGACACAAAAACAAAGTGGTAGTTGAAGAATGTGAGGAACAATTGACAATACAGGTGCTGTGAAACCTCGTCCTTTAGACCATGCTCAACTTTGATTATTTTTTGATGTGGGATTTATGGTTACACGTTGGTGGCTATCTAGGGTAGTGCAGATAGAGCGATTGTGAGTAATCATCTTATATACTAAGGCCAAAAGTCCATGTGGACTACCAGTGCAGAACCATGCTTGTCCGTTATGGGTTACCTTACCTTTAGACTAGCCTTTCAGTCTGATTATTCTGAATGAGCCATAGATAGTTCATAAATACATGTATTTGCACTTATAGAAGTGTAATTACTGGTTTAGTCAAGGGTACTGTCTACATAGTGCAGGGGTGGGGGAACTCCAGGCTTCAAGGGCCGGTGTCCTGCAGGTTTTAGATCTCACCCTGGGTCAACACACCTCAATCAAACGATTAGTTCATTACCAGGCCTCTGGAGAGTTCAAGACATGTTGAGGAGGTAATTTAGCAATTTAACTCAGCTGTGTTGGATCAAGGACACATCTAAAACCTGCAGGACACCGGCCCTTGAGGCCTGGATTTCCCCCACCCCTGACATAGAGCATATAGGTGACAGCAAAGGTGACACCCACCTGCTATTGGTTAATACATTGGAACATTAGATGTGTTATCCTCACATGGGCATGTTCAGACAGCACATAGACTAAGTTGAACAGAGAGGGCACAGAGGGCATACTGGCTAGCATCCAGGATGTGTCAGACCTTTGCATTCTCAAATGTCTGTTGTGTAAATCCCGAAAAAGTTCAGGGCTAAAGTGCATCTGTGAAAAGAGCTTAAGATTACTTTTGTGTCTGTGCCATCTTATTGAGAGATAAGCATAGAGGGGTATATCACCTTAAATCCACAGTGACACCTTCAGATGTCACCTTCTACAGTCACGTAATGTCCAAGAAAGAAAGTTAGAGCTTTCTGGTAAACTAAAGAGAGAAAGTAATGCCAGAAAATTCTGAGGCTTTTGTTCCAACTTCATTTTAGGCTGTTTCAATCAGTTTTTGGAAGCCATTCCTAAAACATCAAAACATTAATCAGTGCCAGAAGTTAAATAAATGCGGCTAGAGATGAAAAGAGCTGCCTTCCAAGGAACAGATTAGCCTCAGCATGTGCTCTTTTGGTTTATATTAAGAAAGGCTTCAACCCAAAATACCTTATATCTGCATAAGTATACTAAGTGGTGTACAAAATGCCACTCAGAGATAACATATACAGTAAACTGTTAAAAATGTCAGGCTTCACCAGAGCTGTCACAGTGATGTTGATGAAACCAATTAACAGTGTTGAAAAGACAGTTGCAGAGGCATTGCTATAGAGCAGAGCTTAGGCATTCAGCTCGGCATGTCTAACATAAGCACTGAGATGTAATCCAGGTGGAAAATTGTTTCTGTTGGCAAAATGATCCCAGAAAATCACATAAATGCTGTTTAGGAAGGGACACTGAGGATATTGTGGAAGTCTACTCCAACCTCGTTTGGCTCTGTGGAGGAAAAGCAAATGAGCCCCTATGATGTCATTATTAAAACACCTGTCAGCATCGATGTGTGCTTGTAAGAGTGTATGTTTGCATGAATAACTGTGCAGTCTTTCTTCAGCTCGGTAACGCTCACAGCAGACTTCCCTTTCATTGCTCCCAGTGCTATCGCTCTGCTGCAGCAAGAAAACACTTTACAAGGTGCTGAAAGGGCCGCTAGGAAATGACCACAATGAGAAATTACACATTATGTTTGGACCTGCACTCTCATAATTGGACTTGAACAACTTTTATAGCCTGCTCAGACTATACAGGTTCCAACTGCAAAGTGAATCAATTGCCTCACAGAATGGACCCTCATGGCAGAACCACCTTGAAAGCGGTCAGCTGCACTTTTTCAGACACCTTCCAGCTAGACTAAATCATTTTTATTAAAGTTAACTGCCATCAGTGGGATTTGAGGCACACAGATGTTTCAGTCCATAGACTGAAATTAGGCTAATTATGCTCCTTTTATAATACTGCTGCTCACTTAGGATATTACTAGGCTCTACACTGGAATTCAATATTGTGAATTCCATAATATATACCTACAATGATTGTAGGTATATATGTCTGTAAAAGAATAATTTGACTGTTTAGATGTAATCACCTTTATATTCCATTCCCCTTAAATGCTACACGACAGCATCTGTAAAAATAAAGTTACTGCATATTTTTGTTTGTCATGAATAATAAGTAATCTTGACTAGTTAGCTTCTTTAGCAAGTTAACTAGTCAAGAATAATAAGTATTCTTGAGTAGTTAGCTTCTTTAGCAAGCTAACTAACCTAGGTTAGCTACAATAGATAGAACGCCTGTTTAGTAAAATTAGTGGAAGAGCATGGCATATTATTTGTCAGATAATTGCATTAAAAATGATTCAAAAGGCACCAACATCTCAAACACAGTTTGAAGATTTAGATCTTTGATTTGAATTAGCTGAACCGATGATTAGCAAAGAGTTAGCCATCCAGTTTGTAGCTAGCCAACCTGCCTCTAAAAGCTGCCTCACTTCTAATAATGGATAACTAGTTATGAGTTAGGAAGTAGAGTTTTTATGAAGGGGAAAATAAGACCAAAAATACTTTAGTTTATCAGCCTGTGAACATGTTTATCTCTGCTGTGAATTGGGCATTTTGCTATAGATATCTGCATGTCCGTGACAGTTCACAAATGCCCTTTGTTGAATTTGAAAAGCAATTTCTGTTATTGAAGTTGCTCAGTGAGTCAGATTTTCCATAAGATCTATTTGTACATCGCTTCACCTTTTTATGTACTTGTTTAATATATAAAACAACAAAAACATAAGCCTACTGTACATTTCTTTCACATTCAGAATTCTCACACTCATATAAAAAGGCAAATATATATACACTGTACCGTGTATAAGAGCTCATTTCATTACCCTTGCACAGCATATTGCTGAGAGTCATGTGTGCTTTCTAACAGACATAGTGCTTCCCGCTTACCTTCCTTATCACTCAGCCCTCTAGCCAGCAGGAGGCAAAATAGCTGAATATGCCCTATCTTCGTCAAGTGTTTGCTTCCAGACAGGAGGGCTGGCTGATGGATGAAAATAACACCCTGTCCCTCAGTGGACATGATGTGGAATCACTAAACATACATCCCTCTATATACCACATCCACACCTTTCATCAGTCGCTTTGTTTGTCTAATACTCGCCATGAATTGGTTTCTCAGGTGAACGCGTCCCGCCAGGAGGGCAAGCTCTTGGAGGAGTGTGACGTCCTGATTGACATTATTCAGCAGAGGAGGCAGATCATCGGGAACAAGATCAAAGAGGGGAAGGTGAGGTGAACGCTATGGGCCGGAATCTGTGCCATCAGAAACTGAATTTGAATAAGTTAAATCTGAATTTGAATTGCTCGGATTGAATCTGAATTGTAACTTGAATAAATGCTTTTAAAAACTGAATATGAATTAGCCTAATTTGAAATTCAATTTATTGGTTTGAAAATGATCATCACTAAACTGAAATTGAATTTTATAGTTTGAAAATGAATTCATTTGCTTTGAAACTGTATTTTATCCATTAAAAATTTAGCTCTCGAATCATTTTGGATTCACTTCTCAACATTCAGTTTCAGTTCTACAATTCAATTTCAGTTCCAAAATTCAGTTTTTTGGGACTTACATCCGTTCCGGTTCAAGCGCAGATTAATAGAACTAGGTTTTACTAGCGGACCGAAAGTGTTACTGATGGGAATCTACAGCGTCTTGAGCTGAATTAAGACTTCAGAAGTCATTCGTCATGTCGAATGACCAGCGGATAAACTCTCAGGTTGGTAATAAATGTATTACATGTATAAGAACAAGCGTCATGTTAACAAATGATAGCCGTACAGTAACTTTTATGCTTATCATAGCTGTTAGCTAAAAACGCTAATTTAGCGTAGTTTCCCCTGAATTCAGCTTTGACAAACAAATATGATCGACTGTTTCTAGTAGAATTCCAAAGTTGTCATCTTGTACCCTGTCAGAGCTCTGTATGCTTGCAGAAACCCCTACAGTAGGGAAACATGCAAAACGGTGTCCAAACCTTTGTATTTTAGCTTTATTTATGTCTTACACAGCATCCCAACTCTTTAGCTAACTTAATAACGTTAGCTAAAGTGAATAGTTAGTCTAATTCATTAGTGCAGCATTACTGGATCACATCTGTTTGAAGTGATATAATATGATATACAACTATCACTGAAACAGCAAACTTTGTAAATAAACAAACAACACTTCTCAGTCTCTAAACATTTGGCCACAGCTGTAGATTACACTATCAGTGCTTGTTCACTCTTGACAAGAATTACATTTCTAAATTTACTTTGTGCATTTACAGGTAAACAATATCTAATATTTTATCTAAATGACTGCTTTGTCTTTGAAAAGGTGAAGAGCCTGAGGCCGGTGACAGTCCAGTTCTACTCCAAGTACACCCTTAAGGTGGCTCACAGGACAAGGCCACATTCCTGTCCTGCCAGAAGAGAAGAGACACTTCAGAGTCTTCATGCAGTTCAACCACACCTGTCATATTTCGTATGACAGGGGTCTCAAACTCCAGTCCTCGAGAGCTGGTGTCATGCAACTTTTCCATGTGTCCCTGGTGCAACACACCTGAATACAATTAGTAGGTCATTAGCAAGAGTATAGAACTTGACTGCATGCTGAGGTGGCAACCCCTAACCCTACTCAAGTAAATTTAAGTAAATGTATGTATTTGGAAACATATACTTCTAAAAATACTTTTATTGCACCATGTTCATTCACTCATGAGCTGCTGTAACATGAATCAAATGGCTGAATTGCCAACTCAGCATGCAGTCAAGTTCTATAGTCTTCCTAATGACCTACTAGGTGTGTTGCAACAGGGACACATGGAAAAGTTGCAGGACAGCGTTTGAGACCCCTGCCGTATGGTGTTCATGCAGTTTTCTACCCCACAGTTAAAGCATGTCTGACTGTCTGTTCAGCATATGCAAAAATATATGATGAGTTTAAGCATGTGATGACAAAGGTCTTCCATTATGGTGTTTGTCATCACATGTCACAGACATCTGGAGGATCATTTGGAATAAACAAAAAACTAAAAACTTGTTACTTCATCTTATCTTTATTATTGTTTTTATTTTACATTGTTAGGCATTAGGTTTATTTGTAGTAGTCCTTTCCAACTTCTTTCCCTCTTCCATGTTACTGTGTCAGCTTGTCAGCATCTATTTGGGGTTGGGAGTGGAACAGAAAGTAAGGAAATCCAAAGTGCCATTAAAACCAGGAGAGATTCTTACATTTCAGAAGAAGGGATTAATTCAAAAGAAATGACCTCAATGCCATATTTTATTTAGGAACCCTAGAGAGCACTTTGCAAAATAACACATTCTTATAATTTCACCCTCAGATGAGCCTAGCTACGACTGTCAGGGAAGGTGATGTAGGAACAGAGCATGTGAGAGTGGTTAAGCTAATGTCTCTTGTCTAGATGAAGGCACAAGAGGGATCAATGGCAAGGCGTAGAAATTCAGTATCTTCAGTCTTCAGTGGACACTCCATTTCTGGCACAAAACACCTGTACAAGATGGTTGATTTAGGAGGTGATCCGACGACTTCAGCCTGTCAAACATAGCAATGGAGCAGTATGTTTAAAAAAAAAAAAACTAATTAAGCATGCACTCAGTACCCTAAGAATTATTATGGTAGTTAAACACAGTGATAGTCACATATCATATCACTTCAAACAGAGGTGATCCAGTAATGCTGCACTAATGAATTAGACTAACTATTCACTTTAGCTAACGTTATTAAGTTAGCTAAAAGAGTTGGGATGCTGTGTAAGACATAAATAAAGCTAAAATACAAAGGTTTGGACACTGTTTTGCATGTTTCCCTACTGTAGGGGTTTCTGCAAGCATACAGAGCTCTGAGAGGGTACAAGATGACAACTTTGGAATTCTACTAGAAACAGTCGATCATATTTGTTTGTCAAAGCTGAATCCAGGGCAAACTATGCTAAATTAGCGTTTTTAGCTAACAGCTACAATAAGCATAAAAGTTACTGTACGGCTATCATTTGTTAACATGACGCTTGTTCTTATACATGTAATACATTTATTACCAACCTGAGAGTTTATCCGCTGGTCATTCGACATGACGAATGACTTCTGAAGTCTTAATTCAGCTCAAGACGCTGTAGATTCCCGTCGCTAACACTTTCGGTCCGCTAGTAAAACGTAGTTCTATTTAATCTGCGCTTGATTACTCTTGAACCGGAACCGGATGTAAGTCCCAAAAAACTGAATTTTGGAACTGAAATTGAATTGTAGAACTGAAACTGAATGGTGATAAGTGAATCCAAAATGATTCGAGAGCTAAATTTTTAAAGGATTAAATACGGTTTCAAAGCAAATGAATTCATTTTCAAACTATAAAATTCAATTTCAGTTTAGTGATGATCATTTTCAAACCAATAAATTGAATTTCAAATTAGGCTAATTCATATTCAGTTTTTAAAAGCATTTATTCAAGTTACAATTCAGATTCAATCCGAGCAATTCAAATTCAGATTTAACTTATTCAAATTCAGTTTCTGATGGCACAGATTTCTGCCCATAGAACGCTCAGAGGGGCGAGGACTGTGACACCATTTGTTTGCTATAAATGCTGTATTTATAACAAGCTTTGCCTACATGTTCTCCCAATCTTTCTTACAACTTTCATTTAATATTAAAATGCTGCTTCAGTCCATCTATCAACTGCTCAAGCACACATAATAATCCTCCGAGAGTGAACATTGTCTGCAGCTGTAATAACCTGTGAAACAAATGGATTCCCTCATTCATGCTGTGTGTTTAATATCTACATGACACCTAACTACAATTTAGAGCTTGTGTTTTGCTAGAGTTGATTGACTTATAAGGCCAAGCTTTTATTAATCCCAATTTAAACTCTCTGATATCAATTTAAGATATCAGCAGACCTCATTTTCTAATCAACACAATGCGTCATCACAGTTGCTTGACCTGATCCTTACTCTTCCAACAGACGGCAAACCCTTCAACACATATTTAACAGAAGGGAAAAACAGACAGACTGCCCAAAAGCAGATCCCAGAGCATATGGGACGGCACTCTTTCTCGTACTCTAAACACAGATGATTTCTTTAAGCTCCGTCTAATGAGACTTGGAATGCACTAGGGATGGGGTTTTTTTTTTACCATGTAATCTAGGCTTTCAGCTGTTAGGATTGTGCAGCAAATAGAGAAATGGATACAGATGGATGGATCATTGTTTATAGACCAACAGAATTCTTACAAATTGATTTTGGGTGTTTGTGTTAGCTCATACTCAAAAACAACTCAACACTGTCTTTTCTGAGACAAAGTTTCTGTAGTAATAATGACTAGCAATTGATTGAAATTTTCAGTGCCCTTAAATCAGGATTACAGTATCTTGGGTTCTTTGCAAGCCAAGCTGCTGATGAAATGTCTTTTGACCTCAATGTAACCACTGACCTAAATCTGTCTCCTGAAATCTTTGCTGACAGGGAAAGAAAATGAAACCGAGGAGCAAACGAGGCCATCTAAAATCCCAGATTTCCATTTAGCAGAATCACTGACAGCTCTGAAAAAGTTAAGATTAGCTGGGGCATGAGAAGATTAGCTGATACTGAAAGAAAACATTTTGCCAAGCACCCTGTGTGCTCTTTATTTACTCTTCTCTTGTTAAGATGGAGCTTCTGAGGACTCCATCTTAACAAGAAAAAATGTTGTTTTTTTTTTTTTTTATATGCAACAATTTATTTTTGATGGTAGCTCTAGTGCGGCAATAAGACCTATACACCCATATCTCCAACCACAGAAAACAAGAGGCATGTTGTTACATTAGTTTGGTGGGTTGCAAAGCATCTTGCAGATGAGCAACAAGGTAGGTAGGGTAAAGTGACTCAAATAATGAACACAATTTCAGATTTCCCTACTAGAATGAATGCCCTTAAAATGATTCATATGAATAATTGAATTCATACATTTTTATTGGCACACACAAGATAAACCATGGACGTAGCTTCCAAGCTGGAAAAATTAAGTCAGTGCGGAAGTGTCTTAAACCAGTGGTCCCCAATCCCCCAGACGGGTACCAGTCCGTGAGTCGTTTGGTACCGGGCCGTGAGAGTTGAGGCGTGGGTGTGAAATTCATGGTTCTCAGCAATTTTAGCATTATTTTTTTTATTGTTTTTATCGCTAACTCAGTTTCCCTGGGTCGTTTCCCGTGTGTTATGAATAAATCTTCTTTTTTTTGGTACCGGTACTGGTTTTATTTTGTTGTATTTATCCGCAACACCTTAAAGGCTGGTCCGTGAAAATATTGTAGGACATAAACCCGTCCGTGGTACAAAAAAGGTTGGGGACTGCTGTCTTAAACCACCATTCTATTCGAAGGCCACCAGATAGCCAGTATCTGCTTGAAAAAAAGCCTTTCTATAGTCGTTCTATAGAAGTCTGTGGGAAAGCAAATGAGCCCCTATGACACCTATAAACGCTATCCTGCTAAGTTGATGGGTCAGTCACTAATTTTATGTCATACTGAATAAAATAAAAAGTCTATTTCAAACGTCTTGTTTTCCTTTTTTCAAAATAGCGGATAAATGTGCTCAATGCCTAATGACTTTTCAATCTCGTTGTCAAGTCTGTTTCATCAAGGCTTCAAAACAGAATTTAAGAAACCAACCAATCATGGGTAGCTATGTCCAAAACATTACCTTGAAGTGTCAGGTGCAAAAAGAATGTGGAAAAAGAGACAAGTAAAGTGAAAGTTAAACTAAATGTCCTGTGATTTTATTTATGGATGATGGGTATGTTCATGCCCTTTGTTAACCTTCTGTGATGTTAATACCAGTAGAAGAAAACATGCAGAATTTGATGACTACCTGCATTAGTCAACCGTGGATTTGACCTTTTCATGTATGAGTGACTTCAAAATGTTAACATCCATCTTCTTGCGCCCATAAAACCCCATATTTCTGGGACGTTTTGTGCCATCAGCTCTGATTATGTTATCAGCCATAATGATTCACAACACCTTAACTTGCATAAGCACTATTTCATCCATTCCGATTCATCCTGATAGTCTTTTCTTTTCTCTTTCACACTTTCTAGGCACAGAGGCTTCGGAAGCTCGCCCAACAGATCTCCAACTGCAAGCAATGCATAGAGAGGTCCACAGCCCTCATAACACAGGCCGATCAAACGCTGAAAGAAACCGATCATGCTCGCTTTCTGCAGACAGCAAAGAGCATCAATGAGAGGTCAGACAGCCCACACACTGACCGCATGCCTCAATTATTCAGCTCAGCATGTTAAAATTTAGCTTAAGGGAGAGGTTAAAGACTGCAACCAAAACTTTGTGTACATAACTTCGCCAACAGCCAAAACAAGTAGAGTGGGATTTCATCTTCTATTTAGCATAATCTTATTCCATTCCCTGCTTAAGCTCTCTGACTAATTGATTTGGCAATTGAGAACAAAACCTGCTCTCCAATATGTGCATCCTCATGAGAAACAAAAGGGGTGATATAAAAAAGAAATCATTATCCTTTAGTCCTTCATACAAAAGCAGTGTTTCAATCAGAATCTAATCTGCACAGCTTCACTAATTAGGAAGATGATTTTCTTTAGATTGGGAGTTTGTGTTTTTATTTAGCAAATGTTGAGGTGTTAATTCTGTATATGGATGTTATGTACAATGCTTTGCAAAATGCTAAAAATGCTTGTCACTGTATCGCTAACACTTGTGATGTTGACATGACATTTTTTTTCAAGTCCAGTTAAAATCTATTTTGGGGTGGTCTACCCTTCAAAAACACCCCTAACACATACATATACAATTACAAAATAACTTAAACTGACTAGTTCATATGAAAAGTGTATTACAAGTATCTACTGGTCCTGATATAGGGTTTCCATGGCTACTGCATCAACCCAAGTGCTGATCCCTGAGATACACCTGACTGACACCTTCGACACATTTGCCCTGGACTTTACTAGAGAGAAGAAGCTGTTGGAGAATCTGGATTACCTCACTGGTAAAAATCATAGCCTGACTGTGTTTGGGTGATGTGCTATGTTACCAACTAATGCTAACAAGCTTGGCAGGCATTCAATGTGCTATACCAGGGGTGCCCAATCCCGGTCCTCGAGAGCTACCGTCCTGCAGCTTTTAGATGCATCCTTGTTCCCACACACCTGAATCAAATGAATGGCTTGTTATCAGGCCTTTGCCAAACACGATGGCATGCTGAAGAGGTAATCAAACCATTTGATTCAGCTGTGTTGGAGTAGAGATGCATCTAAAAACTGCAGGATAGTAGCTGTCGAGGACTGGGATTGGGCAGCCCTGTACTATACAGATCACTGCTAATTAGTGCCAAGTAGCATTCAAATAAAATGCTAGAACACTGGTTAGTAGACTATGGGCCAGCTTTACTAATGTGTTTCGTTAGTGCAGAGTGGGTATTGGAGGAAGAAAAATATACTGTTGGTAAGTAAGTAAAATTTGTTTCTATAGCGCTTTTTGCTGATGACCTTAGAGCTCGGGAAGAGGAATGCGGTTTCAGCAGGTCAGAAATGTACTGGGGAGCTTGACCATGTAGGGCCCTAAAGGTTAAATTAAAATTTTAAGTATTTACAAAGAGAGGACAGTGACAGGGTGGCATGTATAAAGTGGGAATATCTGCAACTGACTGTGTTGGATATGTATTTCTCAAAACACAAAATATAGTGAGAAGCGTAAAAAGCATTTGTTAATGTTCGTGACACAAAATTTACGTTTAGGGATATGTTTCCAAGGAGTTTAGAGATTGTGCTATTTTGCCTATTCAACTAAATCTGACCCCATAAGGCTAGATACAATTCAGGTGGGTGACTCCAAAAGGGAGTAATTTGGCATTAAGACGCAAAGTGTCTTTTGTATCAGGCTGTAAAGATGATTATTCTGCTGTAAAGTTCAGCTTTTGGAAGTTTTTGCATTTGAAGATAGCCTCAAGTGGCCATTCAAGGAACTGCAGGCTTTATTTTTACCCAGAAACCCAGAACTTTCTGCTCGGGAAACCTTTATGTTTAACCTCCATTTTTCATCAAATGGACGTCTGCTGATTATAATTCAATTCAGTTCAATTCAGTTTTATTTATACCGTGCTAAATCACAACAACAGAGGTGGAAGACAGGACAGATTATACTGATTAACCAGAAACTAATTTTCAAAATGCGTAGTGACAATCACTGAGAACTGCTGTTCATGTTCATCCTCATTATCATCATCTTTTGATGGCTTCTTTCTTTGAATCCATGACCTAATGTTTAGTCTTAATCTATAGTGTAGCCCTTTGATTACACGATTCAGTTTCTCATGGACTGTGAAACTCAAATATTGCCTCCAATTAAGATTATATTCATGCTTTAATTTAGGATTTAAAAAAAATCTTTTGATGTCTCGGTTTTCTTCAAGCATTGCATTTGAACAACCCCAGCCTATTAACTCTAAAATTAATTTTCAACATTAATTTCCGATGTCCTATTTGCAAGGCCCCATCAAAATGTCACTGCATGAATTATGGAGCTTGGTGGGGACAAAAACGAGGTAGTGTAGTGGGTTTTGAAGGTCTGTGAAAGTGGCTGGCTCGTATTTATTCTCTGTGATGCATGAGGGCTTCGCTGGAGGGCCTTTTCACTAAGTGAATCAGTCTGAATCACTCCACTATGTGCAGCCACTCATGACAGAAGGCTCGGGAGAGGGAGCGAGTGACAGACAGAGAAAGAGATAGGAAGTGGCTTTACAATCAATTTAAGCTGTGCCTTTGTATCTTTATTTCTTTACCTCGGTCCATTCTGTTTCTATCTCTTTCTACCGAGAGGCTTCATGCACTGAATACAAGAGTGATTCATTGTATTTATTTCTCTGTGGAACAAAAACAGTTATAACATAATGAAGTTTTCCAATGAATCAATGCATGAGTGGAAGAGAGCCAATCTAACATCTCTGGTTATGTAACGACTCGCATTTGTTACTCCTAAAAAGGGCTGTTACATTTACTGTTCCCGCTGTTAATGCGATCTGCTTTTTATCTGAATTGTTTATTATTTTGCTGCTGCCTTCCTTTTAATGCTCAGCGTACCACTCTATTAGAAAGAGCATCCTCAGTCCTATGTGTAATGAAGGTTGTAGACTCATAAATCGAAGCAAATGAACACGTACAAGGTTAATCAAGGCTACCGTTGTAACAGCTGACAACCTTTGAGTGTGTCATCACTTTGGAATATCGCTAATGTAATTTGCAATTTTATCCAAACACAATCTAAAATTAGGGCCTGAGACGATGATTTTTTTTCTTCAATCATTGCAGCTCCAAGTGCTCCGTGCATAAGGGAAGAACTGTGCACGGCGTCCTATGACACAATCACTGCCCACTGGACGTCAGATGATGAATTCACTGTGACGTCCTATGAGCTCCAGTATGCTATTTTCACCGGACAGTCCAACATTGCCAGTAAGTATGAAATGAATGCTGGAATCAGATAAGAACTAAATGGTTTTTCAAATCTTGAAAGCACAAAAATGAATAAATACATGAAGATATAACCCAGCTCAGATAACCAATCTACAAAGTTTATTTTAGTAGTTATTTTTAAGGTCCCAGCTACAATAAAGAAAATAAGAGGTTATGGGGGTGAATTCATTAGCATTAGCAAAATAAAAAAGAAAGTTGAAAGATGGTGAGTCGTTTGTAGGGAAGAGCTTTTTGAACTGCATAACAAAAAACTTCCCAGGGGGAAGGAGAGAGGTTGAAGCGGCCCATTGAGCGCCACATTCAGGGTCTTAAAGCACCTTAATGGCTTCCATTAAGTAATTAAGGTACAACTCCACTTCCCAAGTATCCAATTAATGTAATTTGTGGGAAAAAAAGCAATCCTTTTAGCAGTACTAACTTGGTAAATGTGAATGCAAACAGATTGATGTAATTTCCATCTGTCACGCTGAATTGTGAATAAACATTCACATATCCTTTAAGAAGATCAAAACTTGTCTAAGAATCATGTTATGTTTGAATGCTGACTCTTTTATTGTAGTTTAATTTTACTCATCATCAGAGTAATCCAGTGACAGCTGTCTATATGCACGGGTGCACTACAGACATCAGGGATGACCGTAATGAGGGCCACGAGCTTTAGTTCTTGACCAAGCCATTAAAGTTATTATAAAAGTGTTGATAGACTTTTAACTTCTTTAGATTTTCTTCTCCTCTCCATGCACCTTGAAAGTAGACAAAGTAATGCCAGAAAGCCCTATTCTGCCCCATACCAATGTCAATTGGGCCTTCTAAATGCATCCACCTTGAAACATCCAAAACCAAGCCCTAACCCTAATTCTAGACAAGTCATCTCACCTCATCCGAGGGCACATCGAGTCATTCCCAAACCAGCTGAAAGATATATCCTCTCCAGTGAGTTCTGGGTCTGCCCCAGGACCTCTTCCTGGCAGGACATACCTGAAACACCTCACCTAAGAGGCATCCAGGAGGCATCCTCGTCAGACCTAAGATCAACTCTGTACATTTATGCTGCCCTACTGCTGGCCACTAGCTCCCCTTAGGCAGATGGGAGTTGAAGTGCTTTTCTAAGATAGCGTTGGAGTGGAAGTGGAAGCTCCTGAAGTGAAGCCTCTGGCCTTTATGCTACTATCACCCTGATGTTGTCACACATCAAATGACTGTAGCTTGTGAAGGATGAAAGAGGGATAAGATTTGACAATAGCAAATCCAGAATGCATGAAGAGCACTCAGTAAAAGATTAGACTTCACTGGAAACGCAGAGTTCTTACACTGAAACATGTGAAACATTTAGGTTTAAGTGGCATCGAAGGAGTGAGATGTGTCAGGAGGGATGACAGCTGGGAAACGAATCAGCATCCTTGACACACGCTAAGTGACACAATGTCTCGTAGAGCAACAACAGACAGGCCGTATATGCCGACATACTCACTCTTGCTCAAATACACACAAGCCCTAGACAATCATGAGCACACTCAAGTGAGCAACAACTACAAGGAAGAAAATGGGGTCAGGGCATCTGAAGGCGAGATCCCCTGCTCCCTTTCAATCAAATCGCCTTTTCTCTGTCTTTCATCTGTTCTTTTTGAAATCCTTTCTAACATTCAAACAGAATTACCTAACAGTAAAAGTACCTTTTTCCATTTCTTTTCTTGGTTCCCATGCTTTGTTTCCCTCCTTTTCACTCAGCTCCTGATACTTTTGGGTTACACCCTTCCTTTATTTTTTTTCCTTCCCATCTATGTAAGGTTACACCTTTGCCATTGCCTTGTCATTACTTCACAGATTAAAGAGTATTTAAAAATGACAGCCATTAAACTCATTTGACACTTCATTTCTTCTCTTGCTTTCACATTTCTGCCTCTTTCCATTCAAGAAGACAGCATGATTTTTCTCACCTCTTGTTATCAGGTCTGGTAATGTCAGAGGTGTTGCTTTTGGCATTCAAGTCATGTGCAAGAAGTTTCCCCCCTGTGGAAATTGAGTTGTATCACTATGCAGGAAGTAGAAGTATTGTAATTTTATGGAATGGAACAGTGAAAACATTATCCTTCTAATTGTTCTGTACAGCCTTCTGAATCTAATTTCCAGTGGGAAATACATGACAAGATCATGCACAAACTGCTTTTTAGTCTTAGAGGTCTTTTAGCCTGTTGTAGTGTCAGTAGCTTCCTCAGTAGTTAAATAATAACTGCATGGTGGCATACACTAATATTGCCTTTAGTCTTTAGCATCATGGATTTAATAATTTTCAGGATTCAGGATTTTCAGTTAACTACATTTCATTGTTTCTTTTTCCTCCAAAGGAATTTAAATTGCATTCAAAAACAAAGTACACACAAATACATGTATAACATATTAGCCTAAACTGATAACTAATGAATTTAGGTGCCTGTCTACTTTCATTATGATTATTCATTTACTAAGCACATTATTGTCAATATAAATAATTCAGAATATTGAAAGTAGCTTTACTAGACCATATTATATTATTAACAGATCATACTTTTATGCTAAGCTAGCTTTGTTAGCCTGACTTTAGATGCTTTTTCTTCCATAATCAATGAATTATATGTTACATAACAAACTATCATCTATAATCACCTTGACAAGATATGTTTTTGTGTTAGCTAAAGTTAGTCATCAGGGCTATCTCACTGTCTACCTATCATTTCTGAAAGAATTGAGCTAGCATATGTGAGTTTACAATATACTGCGGAGCCCCACAAGGGACATTAGAGAAAAAAAAATGAAAATGAACTTTTGCGAGATCTCAAGTTACTTTTTACCGCAAACCTTTGGTGAGATCTTCCAAAATAGGTTGCATCCCTTCGGAGGCCGCCAGCTTGAAGCTGACCGGGAGGTCCAGGCACGATGTACTGGGAGTGGGTGTTCTCGTCAGCTCTAGTGGGCCTCGACCTCCTGGTCAGGTTTGAGCTGGTGGGTAACAGACATTTCCGAAAACCTCGGAGCACTTTTGCAAGTGTTAAATGTCTTGATAAACCGAGCAGATATTTGAAGTTTACACAGCTACATTCTCGCCTGAAAATATCTTGAAAGCGTATTTTGTGACCCAGATAGAGTAATAGCTGCCACCATTGTTGGAAACTGGAATTGGCTGGGCCACATTATGAATTCTGGGATAGATTGGGCCACGAAGGATACACCCGACCCATCCATCAAATTCAGGGAAATGAAGGATGCATTTGGAGCAGCCTTCGAATTGGGACAGCCGTCAAATGCGGCCTCTGAAGGATGCGGCCTATTTTGCGTGATCTCGCAAAAGTTCATCTTCATTTTTTTTCCCAATGTCCCTTGTAGGGCTCCATAATATACAGGTTAGTTTTAGGCCTGTGCTGCAAATTATCTTTACATAACTGGAGAAATGCTTCCATTTCATTTTGTAAATGCATATGACTCTTCATTTCCTCTCTTGCTTTAACATTTTAAAAGGTAAAACAAATATTTAAACGACTTTGTGTTCAGTGTCAGCGCACCCGATGATATTTTTGTCTGTTTAGAGGTCTTTGTTAGAATGTGGCATAACAGTTTATGTGACAGTGACATTAAAATTGTGGGTGCTCATTATTTTAAAAAAACCACACACACCCAAAACACTGGTTTCCATCTATGGATGGATAACAACGAGCAGTGGCAACTTCCCGATCAGCAGGCAAACAAAGACATGAAATGGAGGGAAAATGTACACCCACATATACACACATATGCCTTAGGAGGTTGTGCAGCAGCTCTAAAGTGCCATTAAATAAAAAGCACATACCAAAGACACACAAACACACATAGCAGAGGGAGCACAGTGCAGCTATGAAGTCAACGAGGTGTGAATAGTTTCCTCATGTGCCTTTTCACACCCTCTCACCTGTTTCCACTGGCATGGGGTTGCACACAACCAGTTATTTTGTTCACCGTCCTTTCACACAGCGATGCATTATTCTTCCAGGGAACTCTTAAGTAAATAGTTTTTCTGTTATTTGTGAGTTATTTTAAGGAGAAATGCCTGCAGTTATATGAATTCTTCAGCACTTCAGTTTCATTTTCATTCTAGACTTTGTCCTATAGAGTCGCATAATGCAAAAAATAAATACAATGAATTATAATTTAAGTGAATTAACTGTCTATTTACTAAATCTGACATGACTTTTTTGTTTTTTTTCCTCCACTCTCAGGTCTCTGTAATTCCTTGGAAAGCTGGATGATTGTTCCCAACATCAAGCAGAACCACTACACAGTGCACGGTCTGCAGAGTGGCACCAAGTATATCTTTGTTGTGAAGGCTATTAACCAAGCGGGGAGCAGGAGCAGTGAACCAGGGACTTTAAAGACAAACAGTAAGATAATAAAGACTGAAATAGTCCTGAGTCTTTTTTTTCCTGTCTGTAAACACACAGCTCCTAATTACTATTTATTTGGTGGACTGCTAAATATTTGCCATAGGTGGTAAGTAGGTCAAGGAGAGAAATTACATATGCTAGAAAAGTCTTCACTATAATCTCTTACTGGTAAGTGTCCTTATGGTCAAGTTGGTAAGAACTCAGGTATACTCTGTCTTTTCCTACCAAATTATGGGAACCATTTTTAAATCAACTCTTCTATTTATCTTGTTTACTACGAACAGGCCAGCCGTTCAAGCTTGATCCTAAATCTGCTCACAAGAAGCTGAAAGTGTCTCACGACAACCTGACAGTGGAGCGAGATGAAACCACATCCAAGAAAGGCCACAGCCAAGAGCGGTTCGCCAGCCAGAGCAGCTACGGTGTTGTGGGAAATGTCTATATTGACAGTGGGCGTCACTACTGGGAAGCTCTCATTGGAGGGAGCACATGGTGAGAGCTACACATTTTAAGTAATAATTTATGGATTCTGTTTGAGGATAACATCTATCCATGTATGCATTTCTGTCCACTTATTCAAAGTTAGGTTGTGGGGCTAAGCAGACTTTTCCCCACCAACCTTCCTTCTTTCTCCTGAGGTATCCTCCTATGTCAGATGACAAATGTAATCCCTCTATTGTATTCTGGATCAGCCTTTGGGGTTCCTCCCAACCGAGCATGACCAGAGAACCTCTAAAAGGAAAGCTCCATCCTATTTAGATGCTTGGACCACCTCAGTTTGTTGCTTTCTGCATAAAGGAGGAGCAGGTCCTTAGAGATGTCTGAGATCCTCAGCCTGTTGCTAAAGATGCGTGTAGACACACTATGCAGGTAGCTGTATCCGCAATCCCAACTTTTCAGTCATGGAAACAAATGAAGGATGGAACCTAGATTGATGTTGAAATTGAAAGCTTTGCCTCATTTCACAATTACTTCTGACAGTTCACCACTTCATCTGCTTATACCACCAAATTCACTTATGAACAGAATACTGAGATACTCAACTAAGCAAATACTGATGGTCTTTGGTTTCCAAATAATGATAACAGAAATTTTATCTCCTTCCAAGGTATGCTGTAGGCATAGCCTATAAGTCAGCCCCCAAGCACGAATGGATCGGCAAGAACTCAGCGTCTTGGGTGCTCTGCCGCTGCAACAACTCCTGGGTGGTTCGTCACAACAGCAAGGAGCTAGCGATCGAGCCGTCACCCCACCTGCGACGCGTTGGGGTCCTGCTGGATTACGATTCCGGATACCTGAGCTTCTATGATGCTGTAGGCTCCCAGCACCTACACACATTTCATGTCTCTTTCATCCAACCCGTGTGTCCTGTGTTCAACGTGTGGAACAAGTGTCTAACCATTCTTACTGGTCTACCGATCCCTGACCATCTAGAGGGACTGGAACCAAACAACTGAAGGCTACACAGAGACAAAAATAAATCAACCCAAATTTAGTATCTTAAAGCTGCACTGGGCAAGAGATGTGAAAGTACTCATCTTTGGATAGAGAACAGAAGAGGGATCTATCCTCTTTAATTCAATCAGCTCTGCTCTATTTACCCAACATAAATTCTCCTCATATGCACTTTTGTACCCAGAGGCAATGACATCTCTATCAGAAGCTAGCAAGCACACTGTCCTAATAAAAAGCCAGACTTGCAAATGTCTGATTTATTCCTCCTTTACAAGCTGGCTTCCTTTGATACATGCCATAACACCCTGTTTGTCTTGGGCTAAATGTCTATGTGAGTATCACGGAAACTTCACTTTCTCAGACAGCAACAGAACTTGCTAGCATTTGTGCAAAGTTAGCTAGTGCAGCTTTACTGTGCAAAAAAGACGTATTGCATGACGTGTTGCTTTGTCAAAGCTTCTCAAAAAGATTTTCTGTCTATTATTAAAATTTGCTCAATCAAATCTGACTCTGGTTAGAAAAGTCTACTCTAAGGCACTTTGGGCTATGGTGAGCATATTTGTACCATGGTAACTAGGATACAAGCCACAATCAATTATTATTTTCCTCTCTACCTGCCTTTTTAGATTATTTTCTTAGATATTGCATTTTGAAATTCCCTCAAACTGCACACATAAACACAAAAAGTATACTTTCATCCGTCAGGGTTGTTGGAAAGAGCAGAATTACAGATGTATATTTTGTAAAGTAATTTCACCCCTCTTATCTTTTCCTTGCTCATTAAAAAGGAACCAAAGTAGCCATTGCTGTTCATATAAATTTTACGCTACGAGAATAAATGGAGACTTATTTTTAAAATGTGACAGAGAAGAATATAGCATTATGGTCAATATTAAATGCAGCGTTCCCTTAAATATAGACTTTGTCTTTGCACATTGTTCATACTTTATTCATGTTTTTTTGTAGCTTAACATTCAAATGGATTCTGGTGCAATTAACATGTATTCATATTGGGAAAGTGTTGTGTTGGACTTATTGTGTTCAGTTTGTTTTTGGCAGTCATACAAGTCCTGTCATTATTATTTTATGTGGTACATAATATGTGAATTGTGTTACAGTTGTAGACACAGGTTATTATTGGAGATTATGTGTGAAATGGACATTTGGGTGTAATTTTTTTCTTTTCTTTTCTTCTTTTTTTAAACGTTCTGCTAATTGAGCATATGGATATTTAGTGGGACACATCTGTGCCACAGTACCGTTACACCAAAACCAGGGTGTTCTCATCTCTACATACTGCTTTACATGTTCTTTTTACACTTCAGGTCATCAAACCTATATTCAGACTGTCTATAAAAAGATACTTTATTAAGTCAACCACCCACGCACAGGGGGGCTGTCCCCAGACGTGTTGCACAATGACGAAGTCAGTAGGGTAAACTCACCTCACTCAGTCACCGGGTCCTATTTGTTTTTTTTGTTTTTTTCCTTAATTTCTCCAATTTAAATGGATAAAATTAGCCAACGTGAGTTTTAGCTGTTGATACATAAATAGTCCAAATCTGTATAAGAAAACCTCCCAGAAGAAACACAATCGAGTACAGTATGTGCTCTGTAATTTAGGTTAGAGTCCACTGAATAATTGTTAAGCATTACAAAATTGTAAATGTAAAGATTTGGTTGTATATCTTGACGGACGTTGGTTCAAAACACAATACATAGGACAAATGAGCTTCAATTCTGTGTTTATTGGCGATAGATTGAACTCTGTGTTTCATTGTAAATGATGCAAATATTGTGTTTAATTTAATGTTTCCATTTGAACTTTGTATGAGGCCATGATGTTATCTGTTCAGTCTCTGTGGATATTTTTACAGGAAAATAATACAGTACGAGAGCTTGCGTCATTACTGTCTGAGCTAAGTCTGTACGAGAGTGAAAAATAAACATTGTTCCTTTTCACATTAAAGTGTGCTCTTTTGTTTTTCTCCAGTTAAGTAATATGGCGCTGGTGTGAGAATGTCAAGAGTCGATCTCATAAAATATCCAGGAGAAATGCCAGGAGCCATTTCTGGTGAAAAATAAAGATCACATATTGAGAAAATTCAGGCGGTCCCAAATTCAATAAGTTTAGACTGTGACATTTTGGTTTTGAATAAAGTTACTGGTGCCCTTCGGGCAGGTGTTGCACTCGGTGCTGTAAGCAAGAATCAGTCATTTAAAGCTGCTGTAATCAATATTCTTACATCAGCATTGTACTTCACTGCTATTTCACTCTATAGGAACAGATGCTGCACAGGGACTTGACAGCGTGGGCTTTTTCTGTCACGCCATGAATCATTCAAAAAATGTTCTAACGTCAAGCACTTCAGAAGGTTCAGACTTCAGCCTGCTGAGTTCACTCGAGTTTACACATTTCCCGTAGAAGAGGAAGCTGTCAAGTTTATCACGTGAACTTCCCGCGGACATCGGGGGCTCTTCCTGATTTTTCCAGGAGCAATTGTTCTAAGACGCAAGGGGTTCAGTGGGGCTTCGCTGCTAGACTGTTATAGTGTAGCATTAGTTGAAGCTCTGTGTGTCGTTCACACGGTTAAGGGGCATGAGCTCGCCAAATTAATTTACCCAGCGCTCCACTGAGCAAACAACAAAAGGGACACAAAGACAATTTTTCAGGTCACCAAATGGCAGAGTCACGCATGTGCGTGTGAGTGTATGTTTGTAATTCACAGCTAGGATGGCTCTTTGCCTGTTTTCATAAAATTCATCATGACAAAAAAACAAGCTGGAAATATGGGTTGTGGTATTGTAACTATGTATCTTAAGCCTTATTTTTGAGATTTAATAATGTGTCAGTATAGGCAGCTCTGAGTTTTTTTGTTTACCAACAGTTCTTAATTTTTTATTACATTTTATTTATGTCTTTTTTTTTATTTTTTTTTTAGGAAAAATTGTATTGCAGGGTCTTTACTTTACTACATAAAGCACCTTGAGGTGACTGTTGTTGTGGTTTGTTGCTATATAAATAAAACTGAATTGAACTGAAATGTTACTCTCACCTGTGGAGGCACACAGCAGGTAGGTAAGATAATTGAATTTTATTCCAAGCTTACATGGATGATGAAAAGCACTCCAGGTAAGCTGAATGTCCAAAAACAATTTAAAAGAAACCAAACTCTGAACGCCAGCAGGGAGAATGTAACAACAGTGAGAATACTCAACAGGAAGCCAAATGTACCCAAGCAAAAAGGATAGTATACCACAGGGTGGGGAAGATACAAAGCACAACGCCATGAGCCATATAAGGAACTAGCTTCTAAATTTCAAAATAAAAGAGGAAACAATCTGAAGGAGGGACAACAAACCAGCTGGCTGTGGCAGATGGCTGCTTCTCATTGCGCCTGGTTCTACTGGAGGTTTCTTCCTGTTAAAAGGGAGTTTTTCCTTTCCACTTTTTGCCAAGTGCTTGCTCATGGTAATTCCATCTATTTCTATTGATAAATAGCTCTAGTCAATATCGATTAATAATTTTATGCAAAGGGGTGCAACATTAGTAAGAAGATATTTTCTTGATATTCTATGTGGAGGTCTATTCTAAATGTTTCTGCCAACATAGGCTAACTGATTCATTATTTCTGTATTAATAAAACTACTTTTTATTTTCAGCAAAATCAAAATTTTTAAATTCTGACCCCAGCTTTTAACTTTATACAATCTGAGCAAAGTTCAAAAGCGCTTACCCATCCTCTGGCGTTGCCATACAAGAGTTTGTGTGACATTTTAAACAATCGATGCGGCAACTTAATGTGTCTTGGGATTTTCCTGCTTGCCTCAAATGTACCTCAAAAGGTTGAGTCCCAATTTTATTAACCTTTGTCAAGGGAAGGTTTTGCCGAGCTCGTGTTGTTTTTCTCCACAGCCTCGGTTCGTGATGTCGCACTGTATTAACACATGACAACTAGTGTGAACTAGTGTACTTAAACAGCTCAGGCCTTTTTGTTGCTGCCTGTTGGGGACCTTGATGATACTTTAGCAAGACAAGGAAACTGTTGCTCATTCATTCCCTCCCCCCCTGTGGGAAGTTGAACCACTGACCTTCCTTCACAAGACCACTTCACTGTCCTTTAGGGAAACACTGTCCCATTTTTGCACATGCCATCAGGCCAGAGTCGGTTCAGTGGGTTGCTGTTTGTGCACTGCAGCTGTACTTGTCTGGTGAGTCCAGAGGCCTTGCAGTCCCATGAGGATCTTTTTTCTCATGGCTACACCACAACACAGAGACAAAAAGACACAGCCTATGTCTTCCCTGGGGAGCTGTACATGTACTCTATGGGCTTTTGCCATCCTAATATACAAGGAGGTGTGGTGTGTGTGTGTGTGTGTGTGTGTGTGTGTGTGTGTGTGTGTGTGTGTGTGTGTGTGTGTGTGTGTGTGTGTGTGTGTGTGTCTAGTGGGCATGCAGTAGTGGCTGCTTGCTGCTGACAATTTGGCATTTTAAGCAAATAGGCAACTGCAGAATTTCAAGATGAGCAATACCAGCAACTCCCTCAGGAGTGGGTGTACAAAATGAGAGAGCATTTCTTACAGAGGCACAGCAGCAACAAAGACAAAACAAACCCAAGTCTAACAACTGCATTAGTGACTTCACATCATTCCAATTTGTAACATGTTAAAATGGCTTTTAATACACCAGCTCTGTGCAGAAGAAATTCTAATACACTTCACACTTAAATTAAAAAAAAGAAAGGTACAATAGCTTTCCTTTTTTCTTAATGTCTAACTGCTAATGTAAGTCTTTGGCTTGGCTGTACAGAAGCTTTGTTCTCTGTGCAGTCTTGAAAACAGGGCTCTTACTTGTAATGACCAGCAGATGTCACTGCTAGGATTGAAGAAAATAAACACACAAGTACCTCCACAGAAATGGCACTTCATTATTGACAGTAATGGCAACCATGCAGATGAATTCCTGTGTACTTAGACCTGGTGTATATGTGTTTTGTGTGCGTGTGTTAGACACAAGGACTTAAAGATGTTTACTCACACAGCTTCCCTTTTTGGGGATTTAGTTTATGGGTAAAGACTTAGTTTCCAGGTGAGTTTTCAGGAAATGAATATATGAGTGCAGTGTAGTAAAGTCTTGCAAACATGAGTGTGTGTGAGTCATTACTGACATCAAAGAAAAAGGTATTCTCGATCAGGGCGATTGATTGATTGATTGGCATTTATAATAATCTATAAGGAATTCATGCGTATGAAGTTGAGGTATTTCATATACAGTGAGACCTCTGGTCCAGCTGTGGAAAACAAACCAAAAAAATAATACATCTTCTCACTGATTTAGACTTCATTAAACATAAATGAGGAAATCAAAAAATGAAATGAAGTTCCTGTATGCATGAGCAAGTAACTTGTGTGGCTCTCCACCAGGTCACTCTGTGACTCCAAACCACTGTTTAATCCTCACAAGTCATAGTATCACCATTAGAAGCTGTAGGTGTCTATGTTTGCGTATGGACAGACAAACTGCGTCATGAGGCTTGACTGCAGGCATAATGTCGTAGCAGCGGTCTGACTGTGCAATCGATATGCAATCACCAGCCTATCGGTCATTTTCTTATTCCCAAAAAGGAATAATCATTTGGGAGGCTTAATGTGTTTGTGTTAACATTTTCCACTCCAGCCCTAGCTTAGCAAAACCGTTCCCAAATACCTGCCGCTGACCACAGAGACAAATTGTTGATCTTCAGGTCTTGTGGAACTCTTGACTAATCTTTGACTCATCTCTGAATAAACTGCCTTTCTACACTTGAAAATACCAAATAGCCCTTTTCCACTCTGCTCAGTTGGACTCAACTATGTTTTTAGAGTTTTCTGTTAGGAGCTAGTACCTCGTAGCAGACACTTTTTAGTAACTGCTTGAAAATATTTTAAAACAGACTGCATGCCACCGATTGGCTAGTCAATGATGTCACTCAACGAGTCATTTGAAACGTGTTTTTGAAAACCAGCAATGAGGGAAATGGGTACACAAAAACCAACACTGTGGTCCAGAGCAGAGTCAAGTTAACTCGTGCTCGGTAGGTACTAGTGGAAAAAAGGCTAGTGCCCTTGAAATACAATTTTAAAAAAAGTTTACCTCCCTCAAATCAGAAGACGTTCAAAATGTGATAATACAGGTAGAGATCCAATACACATATAGATGCAAAACAGGTGCCCGGATTCATTTTTCACCAACTGGAGACCTTTGTTTTTAAAAAACGTAGCTCAACCTGCACTCACTTCCTTTTTTTAAATTAGCGCACCTTAGATTTTTACATCTGGGTGGTCCTAACTTCATTCAGGAATAAACACTAGCATGCAGCTATGGTCATTCTTCGACGAAAAGACAAACGAGGACTGATGCAATAGTCTGGCATAGAGTCCTAAGATGAATGTCATTCAGGTCAGTCAGTGGAAGCACTTTCTGAGACTTGAGATCTCTAAATGACTAGAGACCATAAAAGTGAACAAAATCATGTGTCTGTCAGTGAGATACCCCATCCCTGCCAAATCTAGAGATGCCACAGTGTGATTTGATTTGCTTTTTATTCTAAAGGGATCATTCCACTGGTAATGTGTTATTATACATTACCTGCTAAATAAACACTATTTGTGAGAAATAACACGCACTCTGACAAAATAATTGCTAGTTTTGATGTTAAAATTATAATTATTGTGGACAAGTTATTAGCTTCTGTGGCTAACAGGTTCCAGGTCAATCATTAGCAGAGAGGTGAAGAGAGATGTGGGCAGCTGCAAACCCTGCTGGCTCTGATTGTCTCTCACAACAAATGGAAGGCCCACTCTTTTTTTTTTTCGTTTACAGCAGAGATTTGCAACAAAAGGCAGTCAACCATATCTTTTGATGTGCTGCTGCCTATGTTTTCCACCTACCGGTTGAGCTTCTTAATGACCACCAAAGCTGGAGACTCT